TTTCATTGTATAGGTCATTGGTTAGGCCACATTTGGAGTATTGTGCTAAGTCTTGGGCTCATTACCTAAGGAAGGACATTGACTTGTTGGAAAAGGTTCAGAGGAGGGTTACTAGAATGGTGCCTGAGATGGAGGGGTTGTCATACGAGGAGAGGTTGATATCTCTCAAATTGTTTTCTTTTGAGAAAAGAAAAGAAAGAGGAGATCTGATTGAGGTGTTTAAGATTGTAAAGGGAATTGATAGTGTTGATGCATCATCTTTTCTCATACTCAATGGCAAGAATAGTAGGACTAGGGGACACAAATATAAATTTTGGCAGGGTAGGAGTCATCTTCAGTTGAGACAGTTGTGGATGCAGTACATTTAATTGAGTTTAAGAGAAAGCTTTATAACTATATAAATGATAAGAGTTGGCTTTAAGGTTTTACTTTATTCATTTTTTATTTAATAGTTTTAGCTTAGTTTAGAGGACGTGACAGCCGAGATTGTTATGTACGTAAATCAGTGAATGTTTTTTATTTATTTTTTCTAAAATAAAATAAGGCTATATTAGTAGTTGAAAAAAAAAAAGTTGTAAGAAATGCTTAAGTCCCTAAAATTAAATTTTGGTATACAATATATCATTTTAACAATGGGCCTGGTATGGCCAGGTGGTTAGGGTGTTTGACTCGCAATCTGATGGTCGAGGGTTCAAATTCTTGTCCCACAAAACATGCTTGCCCTTTCAGCCGTGGGGGCATTGTAATGTGACGGTCAATCCCACTATTCGTTGGTAAAAGAGTAACCCAAGAGTTCACGGTGGGTGGTGATGACTAGCTGCCTTCACTCTAGTCTTTCACTGCTAAATCAGGGATGGGTAGTGCAGATAGCCCTCATGTAGCTTTGTGCGAAATTCAAAAACAAACAAACATTTCAACAGTAGTTAAAAATTAATTAAAACCAACATACATCCAACAGTCTTTTCTTATTTAATGAAATTGAAAAAGAAAATGGCCAAAATGAAAAATGAAAACAATAAGTTAACAAAATAGAAACTAAAAGAATGTTTAAAAACTAGCGACATTGAAAACCTATGGCTGATGCTTGGAAGACTGTTACTACTGATTATATTTTGCTGTAGGTATGTGCTTAATGGGAATAAGTGATGATAACTTACTGCATTTTGTGTATAACAGAGAAAACAAAAAGATGTACATACAGTACAGGTTTGCAGTTTCCTTCACTAATGATGTGTACTGCTTCATTCAGAAGAGTAGGATTAATTGATTGTTTATGTATTTGTTCCTTTCACATCCAGTTTAACAAGCCTAAAGGAAGTGTAAGTTGTATCACATCTATGGAAAATATTACACACACATAATAGATTGAAAAAATACCTAATGTGTCATTCCATTTTATGCTCAGGCAGCATGATTTTGCTGTTGCAACATACCAGGATGAGGTGACACTTTAATGACAATATTTTGGGCACATTTTCTCATCTGTGTTGTCAAACTTGAAAATAATTTGCTGTAAAAAAGGTTCCAAAAAGTGACAGAAGGCCATTATGGCTACCAAACTAAGTGCTGGAAGGTGTTTCAATGCATTCCATTATGCTTGAGCTCTGGTTCTAAGAAGCTCATTTGTGGCTAGTATGTTTAAAAACTTAGTGGTTTTTCCTTGTTCATCTGAACATGTTGAATGCACTCTTATATACATACCATGGGGAAAATTAATAGGCTTAAGAAACTTTTTTTGTAAAAGTAATTCTTAGGTTGTCATCTGTGAATTTTTACAGGAAGTTGTAAAATAACCTGCAATCTGAATATGATAAATGTTGACTGAACTTGACTAATGATAGTTAATGCTTATCTACTTTTGTCATTTGTTTAAATGCATCTTTGGACTGATCAAGCTCATACTCTACCTCTGTCTGAAGTTAATGTAAGTAAGTTTATTAAATTGACAGTGTAAAAGGTAGCAAATAAACATTTATGTGTGACAAAACGAGTAAACCGTAAGTACAATCTAAACTCTTAAGGTTAGATGTAATTTGGTACAGGATAACCAACAAAGGTAGCTGTTACATGTGGTTTAAAATCTATGAACTTAAAATATTACATTAATTGATCAGGATATATAGATCTAGTTTTTTCTTTATTAAAATAATGAGTTACTCTTACACATATTTGAATACTTTTCTGAAAGTTACAATATCCTTTGGACAAAATTCCCTTGAACTTTGTATAATACAGTTTTATACTTGTTGCATAATAGTCTGTATCTCGGACATTTTCTGAAATAATAAGATGGCCAACTATTGATCATCATTTAAACCAATGATATATTATACTGTACCTCAAATTGTTCTAAAGTATTATTGTTTGGTTGGAATCACTGAGGTCCATTCATTGTTCAGTTGACTTAGATTGTATTTGCTAAAGACATCTATTGTTACCCTCTGTAGACAGTAATTTTGTGTTTAGTACAAGTGCATTGCAAGTTATACACATTTTTTTTTTTTGTTTGTTTTAAATACTGTAAGGAAAGTATCCAGTTTTTGTGGACAAGACTGAGTACCGTAACTCTAATCCAGAACATTTGATACACAAAGTTGAGCTCAAATGAAATGAAATATTGTCCAAATACCAATAATTATTGGAAAAATGTGACTTTACTCAGAACTTTTTCATTTGACTAGCATTTTGATTCACTGTAAGTTTTGAATAAATTGAGTGGGACATAAGTTTTATAATGGCAAATAATACAATGTAAATATCCTGTTAGTAATGTAAGTAGGCAGTGTTTGTATTTTATTTTGTTCTCATGTAAAGTGTCATCCAAAAACATAAACTTATTGAAGCAAAAAACTGTATTTGAATAACTTTTTAAATGTTTTTCTATATTCTCTAATAATAGTTTAAATACTCTTGTAATTTCTGGAATGCATAATCAATTTTGTTTTTTAAACAAAAACTAATACATTCAGCTCGGAGATATTACTACTTATAAATAATAGACAAAGTAAGATATGTGCTAAGAATTCAAACTCTGAACATGTACTATACAAATAAACATGGAGCGCAACTTCATTTCAATTTTCATTTACACTAGAATAGTACATTATTTGCTGGTTAATGACAACAGATGTCGTGTGGCATTCAAAGAATATTTTATATTTCAGCTTGACATTACCTTTAATGAAGTATTTTGTAAAGTAAAAAAAACGTTCATGAAAACATTTACAAATGGTGAGATGTTATTTGCATCTTGATACTTTATTATTAATTATTGTGCTCTTTAGAATTTATATCTATAATAAAATTTGTTTCTGGTAAGAGTTTTGTTAGTTTTATTAAATACAAATAATACAACTGTTTGTGAACTTCAAACACATTTTTTTCTAACCATTCTTCAGATGCTCCTACTTCAGCTTATGCTTGGCCAAACTGCTACTTACCAGTTGGAGCAAAGACACGGTTTACTCCAGAGCCCATCAAGTTGTACTCACTGGCCTCAAAAGTTCCTGATTTAGAAGCTGCAGGCCCTCAGATTAGTCAGAGTAGGTCATTTCAAAACCTTTCATTAATTATGATTCAAAAAATAATTAAAAAGCAATTTGTTAAAAAAGATATCTCACTCACAGGCCTGAGAGGGACAGTTGGCAATGAAGTATTTACTGATTATTAAAAATGTGGCAGTTGAGTGAAGCATTTGGTACTGCCAACCATTACTAAAAATTTCATCTTTGTGTTTTTCAAAATAAATTAAAGGATTTTATGAGATATCATTGAATCCACAAGGTGAACACAAAAACTGCTTTGGAAGATCTTGACCTTCCATACCATTTTTGAAAAGATGAATAAATTACAAGTATAATACACTTATTCAGGAAGTGACTGAAAAGATATTTCTTGTGATGTGTAGAAGTTGTAATAACCTTGATTGTAGTTTTAACTTTTGGCTCTTTAAAGATGATTTGAAATAATTTCATTGTGTTTAAGATTTTTTTGAATGACCAGTAGATCATATATAAAAGAATAGAGATAAAATATGATATATTTTGATTTTATTGAACTTTTCCTTTTATTTACAAGCTGAAGATAGTCTATCTAATTATGTTGGTTGTGCTATCACTGTATGTGTAAAAGTGTTGATATTCACTTCTCTAGGATTAACTTGTAAATAACTGTTTAGTCTTCTTTTGAAGTGGTTTTAGGCAGTGTGTTCAACATTTGGATAGTTTTTTTATGGACTTGTGTCATTTTCTTGATTTTAAGACAGTGAGGTGGGATTCATACCGAGTACTATGTTTTAATCTAAAAATAAAGAAAAATGACACAAGTCATGGAAAATTTTGTCCAGATATTAATTGTTGCATATGAAAAAATGTGTGCTGTATGAGTTCATATTTATGAATACACCATGTGTTAGTTTAGTGTGTATGTATATATATATATACACACACACACACGTCAAATTTCTCTAAACATTATAGTTGAAATATTTCATTTATGTTTCTCAAAAAAAAACAAAAACATGCCAATTTGTTTTAAAACTAAACTTTGAGCTTTACTATTGCTCTACATCTTTCACAGAAATCTTCTGTTTTGGGTCCCAATGATTCTTTTCTTGTAACAAAAAGGATATTATGTATATTTTATAGTTCTCTCTCTCTCTCATATATATATAAAATGGACAATACACTACTTTGGGCATATAATTAGATCCTGATGAGTAATAACATTGAATCAAGTATATATGCACCCAATGCTTGGTATTGATGCCACACAAAAATATAGCTAATACAAAGGAAACAAACAAGTACAAAAGAAATTTTTTAATTTTATAAAGATAAGTAGGGAACAATATATAAGTAACCTAGTAATACAGAAAGTTTTAATGCTACAAAAAGTATTAAAACAAGAGAGTCAAAACTGCAAAAACTGAGTTACTTTTATCTCTACTTTGGCTCAGACTAACATAATTACAATGATTTGCCTAAGCAGGGATAAAATTGTTTAAATTTTAAGTAACCAAGTTTTCGTAGTTTCAACTTTCTTGTTTCAATACTTTTTGGAACATTAAAACTTTCTATATTACTATAACTAAAGTTCATCATTTTTTCTGTATGCTTATCTGAAAAAGTACACTTACTTAAATGAAACTTCATTGAAATAGTGAAATTTTGATTCACTCCATAAACACACATATATATATATATATATATAGTGATTTAGGCAGCATTATAATTACAATAAGCTTTAGTTTTGCTCGGTCAATACTGCGAAATAGTCATTGTTAATACTTTGATATTTTAAAGATGGTTTGAAATGGGCGATTTTTATAGCTGCCATTTTGTTTCATTATGATCCCTACTACTATTAAGTACTACCATACGTAATAATTATAGTTACACTTAAGCAAGCTCTTAATATTATCTCGGAGCATAGCATGTCTTAAACTCAGGCTAACAAATAGGTGGCCTGCAATGAAATTTTTTGGCACACTGAAACTTAGCGATAATGAGGAAAAGTTTTGGAAAAACATAAATGGATATAAGAATTTATGTTTCTAGAAAATTGTTTTCCATTGCCACAAAAACATACTCTTTACATTGGAGACATGGGTGCACTATAAGAATGATGTTCAAATCATGCAGTTTCATGAGATAAAATAGCCTAAGAGTTAGTTACAGGTGCTGTTGACTAGCAGTTTTCCCTCTAGACTTTCAGTCTGTAATTAAGGATGGTTATATGTATATTAGAATAAATAGATATGTTTTGTGAAAAGTGTCTATTAATTAAATATAAAATATTTAACTTTATAACACTTAGAGAACTTTGACCTTTGAACTATGTGTTTCTACACATGATAAAACCTAGCATTAGTTTGACAGGAATTATAATTACAATTAAGTATGGCCAAATTTATAAATTTTCTTTTATTCAATGGATTATTAACTTATGTTATTTTCTTACTAACATATAAACTGCTCATTAGCTTCGCATGAAAATTCTAAACAACAACTTTTAATAAACATTTCAGTTATAAGTGCTTTCATTAAAACATTAAGGCATTTTCACTTAAAAATTTACAATTGTATCAGTTAAAGAATTTAATTTTTAAATTTTGTTACAAGTTCCAGACTTGGTAATTTTCCTGATGCTAACTGTTATCTTAAATTATGTAACAAGTTTTCGAAGACTTGAAATGTAATTTTTTATGCACTAAAAATTGCTACTAAACCATCATGAAGGTCAGTAAAATGCTAGTCTTGTACTAATATTCAAAATTGAACAAAAATTCACAACTGGCTCATTGTTTTGTTCCAGATTAACATAAAATATTTGTACTTGAACATGGAGGTATTGCACACATGAATATCAAATTAGATCAGCTAGAAATTATAGAAATGCATATGTTAAGGATTAGGTCAAGTTTAAGATTTTATTGGGAATGATTTAATGAAATAGATGATAACAATATCTCTTAAGATGAAGGGTTCTTAAGGAAATTTTTGATTTCCTAGGTCTGCACATAGTCATATACTGAAAAATTAGATCCTAAAACCACAGTACTTTTAACCAATGTTTTTGTTAAGGTTAAATAAAGAAATTGAAATGACTTGAAAGTACTAAGATATAAAACATTAAACAAAAAATATAATAAATGGGTTGAACATATCAAAAGTCAAGCTGTATTTTTTAACATTTTAGATTTTAATTACAATTATACTATGTTTCTGCAGATGATAAAATTCCTAATTCAGTAAAGTGCTTTACCTACTCTATTGTACTTGTCACTTTCTTGTATATATTAAATCATGTATTTTTATACACTTAATTGAAGTGTCTTTTTTAAGTTATTTTTTAGCATTTTGTAATCTGAGTTTTAAGAACAATGTATACCTAGAAGTGATGGATAATAATGTGTTTTATGTTGTTTACTTTAGAAGGGGAAGCAATAATCAGACAAGCTCTTAGTTTCTCATGCTCAGCATTGGTGTCTTGTGAAAAGCAGCTGAACTGTTTAGATAGAGAAGGTGGGGATGGTGACTGTGGATCAACACTGTGTAAAGGAGCTCGGGGTTTGTGAAGTTCTTTCATGTTTAAAGAACTAAAAGTTTGTTATATCATTTGATGTATTATGCTTACTAGTTATGCTGACTGTTTAACACACAATTTTTTTTTCATAATTATTTTTTTTCACACAACTTGTACTTGAATTATAATTGTTAGCCATAAACCAGCAATTAAAGTGTTGTAAGTGTAAGTTATGTAAAAGAATAGCTTAAAATTATATCCTAACAAATGTGTTCTATCCATTTATACATGTAAAATAGTTTTCATGAACATAATTTCACCACTTATTAATTCTGTGTTCTGGGGCCCGCAGTGCCACAGCACTGCAGACTTATACGGCTAGAAACCGGGTTTTGATACCTGTGGTGGACAGAGCACAGATAGTCCTTTGTATAGCTTTGTGCTTAATAACAAACAACAACAACTGTGTTCTGGGATCGTTAAATAAACAGAAACAAAAGTTAAGCTACTAAAAACATGTGGTAATAAATCAGGTAATGATGGAAAAACAACTGGTGTGGTTGAACAGTGTTAAACATATTAGAATACATCTGATATTGTTTTGTATCTAAGCAGATCTTTCTGTTTTATAGTTAAACATTTGTTTTTATGATCATTATTACAGATATAGTGATAAGTTTTTCATATTTGCTGTACTGTTAAAACAGCTGCTACAATGAGATTTAATAGAAAGACATACTAATGGTTGCTAGTAAAGCTTTGTTCTAAATGTAAAAAATTCCTAACTTTTTTTCCCCGAGGTATTTCTATGGACAATTAAAATATGTTAAACTATTCAACGAATATAAGAAAGAAAAAAAAAAACAGTAGTAAAAAATATTAAAAATGCACATCTTTAAAGACATTTTTGTAGCAGTTTTCAAGTCAAATTCCTTCTGTATTAGCTTTAGATATTGGTAAATGGATATTATTTTGCTGAGCTACCTATCACACTTCTGTACTTAGCTAAATTAATAGATTGTTTATTTTCTAATCTGCTCTTTTTAGCAATACTGGACCTTCTAGAAAAGGGTCTTGAACTATCCTATCCTTCTCAGTTGCTTCTAACTCTTGGTAGTGTGGTAGAGAGAAGCATGGGGGGAACATCTGGAGCTATTTATAGCTTGTTCTTCACTGGTGCTGCCAAAGCTTTTATTGATCAGTGCACAGCTAACACTTGGTGTTATGCAGTGGAACTTGGTATGCAGGCTATAATGAAATATAGCGGAGCAGAACCTGGTGATCGTACAATGGTAATTTTTTATTGTTTTCGTTGATGCTAGAAATTATGGGCAATACATTGAATTGTAAAATATGATTGATATAAGTTAGAATATTGTAGTTAGTGCTTTATTGGGTATAAAGTTTTAAACATCTTCTACTTGTAAATTATTTTCAAATTATCTATTGTGATATTGACTAAGTTTTAATGTCATAGTCAATGTTATTTAGTTAAAACATGGAAAATATGGCTTTTGGATAATTTAGAGACTATTAAAGGAAATACAGAAATAGCCATAAGTATTATCTCTCTTTTTTAGTTGTCGAAACTAGCTTAGTTTATCAAAACTTATTTGTAATTTTGTATTTATTTTGTGGGTATGCTGCACTATTTTTTATTCTTGTTATTTAGTTTTCAAAACTTTTTGCATGTGAATCATTGTGATTGTGACTGTTAGTTTTGTTACTGTTAACCAGTAGTAGTTCCTTTATACTCAAAATGTGAACATTAAATTTTCAGTATATGTTTCATAATGATTAACCATATATATTTTTGATACATGTAGCTTTAATTTTGCTGTATAAATGAAGAGGTATTTATGATCTGTGTTAACTTTCTTAGTAAATTACTGCATGAATGTTTAAACCACCCCTCTGATTTTGCAAATTACTGCATGAATGTTTAAACCACCCCTCTGATTTTGCAAATTACTGCATGAATGTTTAAACCACCCCTCTGATTTTGCAAATTACTGCATGAATGTTTAAACCACCCCTCTGATTTTGCAAATTACTGCCACAAGAAACCAATAGTCATTGTTTTACTTTACACAGGACAATATTCTCCTAATAAATAGAAAGCCATAAGTGCATTATAATAGTGACAGTCAAATCCCACCATTTTGTTTGACAAGAGTAGTCCAAGAATTATTGGTGGGTGGTGTTGACTAGCTTCCTGTCCTCTAGTCAATGATTTTAAAGTTAAGGATAGCCCTTGTGTAGCTTTGTGAAAATTCCTACAAACACTTATATCATGCACAGATAATTATTTCGTAACCTTTTTTAATCCTTGATACAAAAGATCATGTTACTACCAAACATGAAATAGTTTCTGGTTATGGTGCTATGGTGCATCACTTTTCAACAGGTTAATTTCTAATGGTAGTGCATCAGTTTTATACAAATCAGTTTCTTGTTATGGTACTTCATTTTTCCACATTTATTAGTTTTGAACAAATTTATTGCCAAAATTTCTTGTATTAAATATACATATATTTGGTCTTTCCTAAACTTCTAGATAAAATAAATAATTTTAACTTTGTCAGTTTTTACAATTGCTCTAAATCTAGTTTTGTTAATATTAATAATCTGGAAACTTTACACATCAACTTTATCATCATTGAATACCACTCTTGTTAGTTTTCACCAAGAGAAACTGTTAAATGTTAATAGTTTGTTTCCTGTTCAGCTTGATGCTCTATCTGCTGCTCACAGGGCATTGTCTGAAGAACTTCAGAGAAATGGCAATGATAGTTTAGAAGAATGCCTCACTGCCTTGAAAGGAGCAGCACAGGCAGCAGAAAAAGCAGCAGTGGCCACTGCAACGATGAAAGCTAAAGCTGGAAGGGCAAGTTATGTTAATGCTGACAGAGTGAACACTCCAGATCCAGGAGCACATGCTGTGGGAATATGGATGAGGGCTGTGTATGAAGCTGTTAAACAGCAAATCAGGTTGCGTACTTAATCGTAGAATAGTACATGCCATTTTTAGATATACATTTTGTTATTGTGAATTTCAGAAATATGATGAAATATTGCACTCTTTTATTTTGTGCACTATAGCTTGCAAAGATGATTATATATTTTGATATATTTTTTCTACTTTAATAAGATATTTTATGTTGAGTCAGCTCTCTATGTCCTGATGGATGCATTCCACCTCTAAGGCAAGAAATGTCACTATTAAATTTAAAGAATGAAAGAAAGTAATATTGTTGTAATTCTTTCATACATTAAAATAAAGTTGAATTGAAATGCATTTAGCAAATATGTTTTGTTTATTTAATTTTATACATAAAAATCTGTAAAAAAAATTCCAGATTTTCACTTTGCATTAACTTTGGAGAGCTCTGAACAAAGTCACAGGTGGTTGTGAATTTCCTTTATTTTTTGGCATAATATGGCACTTACAGCCGTTATGAAGAAAAGTGATAATAGTTTTGAATAAAATAGCATTGAATTGACCTTGTAACTTTAATACAAATGTAGTTTCATCAACTTTGGTTTGTCATGGGGTGATGTAATTGCCTTTATCTCAGCTTTAAGAAACCCTAGGCTACTGATATAAACACATAATGAAAGCTTTTTTTTTATTTTTTTAATTGTATATGTCAATGTGACTTCCAGTTCAGCAGAGAGAGAATAAGGTGATTAAACTTAGGTTGGTGTTATGTTGCCAGAAGAAAAGATGTGTGTGAACAATTTCCATCACAATTACATTCCTGATTCTTTTTTTAAAGCTTGCTTTATCATTTTATACTCTATTTAAATTATTATGTTGCAGTAATTAGTATGATAGAAAATGTTTTTCATGGAACAAAATGAAATAGGCTTAATTAAGCCATTTTGCCCTCAATCATATCAAGTTTCAATTCACTGAAAGTACCCTGTGTGTGGCCTTGTTTACATTAGATCTTATTGGCCTAAGTTACTGCAAAGAAAATTGTCAAAAATAAATATATAAACAAATCTAAAACTGGTTTAAAACTTATTACATGTATGAAATGTAACCTTCTTATTAACAATTAAAGTGTTTTGAGAGTTTTTGCAATGCATCTCAAAACAGTTTACATGTCATACTTAAATACTGATGTATGGTAGGATTATTTGAATACTTGGACAGTATGATTTGTGTTACATCAGAGGAAAGTTGCAATATGTTTTTTAACCATTCATTGACCAGATTATTATAACTGTCACTGATATCCTTATCATTGCTGCAAGCCTCTGACATGCTCATGTTAACACCCTCTGATGTATCCAGAGACACTGTTAATGACACATATGTCTACCCTATTTATGATTGCCATGCTTTTCAATGTAAGGTGGTCACCATAAAGTGTCATTTCATGATATAAATGTGATGTATGTTTGCTGTTAGCATTAGCAACAAAGTCTTCTAAGTCACTCTAAATGAATTCCATAAATTTCCTAACTTCTTGATGTACAGTATCAGCAGACCAAGAAACGCCAATTTGCTAAATTTGATGACTCACTGCAGAGAACATAGTTTTTATCTGGATAAGGATCCAGTGCTTTATATTTAATCTATTTCTCTGCAAAAAAAAAGATATGCCATCTTCTCATCTAACTGGTTTCTTTTGGCAGTGTCACTTGTATCAACAGTTGTAAATTAACCTGTTTTGCTCTTACACAAAACATCATAGATACCACTTTTCTACTTTACAGCACCAATGACTCATTTGAATATTTTCCTCTTTCTGTTATGCAAGTACACTTGATCCACAGTGTCATATGTTTTTACTTATGATCTTCTAAAATGTTTTGCAATCTCTTCACTGCCTTTTTTTTCCATGTCAGCTCTGCTAGTCATACAGATCTGCTAAGTATATTTAATACTGTCAAGTATATTTAATACTGTC